TTTGGCGTACAGTGCTCTGTAGTGCCTACCAGAGGGGAGAAGCAGGAACAGGTTTTGTCTGGGGTGAGATGGATCTGCAGTGATGTTTCCTGCCTGTTTCCTGACTCTGAACATGTATAAGTCCTGAATGGAGGGCAGGTTGGCACTGATGATTTTTTTTCTGCCATCCTGACTGTCTGCTGTAGTCTGCTCCTGTCCTTTTTGGTGGCAGATCCAAACCAGACAGTAATGGATGTGCAGAGGACAGACTGGATGATAGCTGTGTAAAAGTGGATCAGCAGCTCCTTAGGCAGGTTGAGCTTCCTGAGCTGGCACGGGAAGTACATCCTCTGCTGGGCCTTCTTGATGATGGAGTCAGTGTTGGGCTCCCACTTTAGGTCCTGGGAGATAGTGGATCCCAGAAACCTGAAAGATTCCACAGCAGACACAGGGCTGTTGAGTATGGTGTTGGGGGCAGAGTGGGGGGGGCTCCTCCTGAAGTCCACGATCATCTCCACAGTTTTGAGCGTGTTAAGCTCCAGGTTGTTCTGGCTGCACCAGAGAGCCAGCTGAACAATCTCCCGTCTGTAGGCTGACTCATGACCGTTGTGTTGTCAGCAGACTTCAGTAGTTTGACAGATGGGTCTCCTGAGGTGCAGTCGGTGTAGAGGGAGAAAAGCAGTGGGGAGAGCACACACCTCATGGGGGCGCCATGACTGACATCCACTGACAGGTGGAGGATGGCACAGTGAGCTGGGTGAGTTTGGTGTGGAGGATGTCCGGGATGATAGTGTTGAACGCCGAGCTTAAGTCCACGAACAGGATCCTTGCATATGTCCCTGGAGTGGTGAGGTGTTGCAGGATGTAATGCAGTCCCAAGTTGACTGCATCATCTGCTGACCTGTTAGCCCTGTAGGCAAACTGCAGGGGGTCCAGCAAGGGGCCTAGTATTCACAGTAAAAGTATCTACGGGTGAACTGTAAGGTTTTTTGGAAGTTATTACCTATCAAGATGGCTGTCTGTTGTGTTTCAGGAATTTGTCATCACAAGTCTAAAGGGGCTGGGTTATGTGACACTGATGTGTGGTGATGGCACAAATGATGTAGGAGCTCTCAAACATGCCCACATAGGTAAGATTTAGCCACATTCAAGACTGAAGGCGGTGTCACTATGTGTATGACACCAACAGTGATTAATGATGATGATTTTTCCTCAGGTGTTGCCCTGTTAGCCAACGCGCCTGAACGCATGCCTGAGAAAAGGAAACGGGGGCGAGAAAAGGAGGCGTCCCCAGCTGATTCCAGACCTTTACCACCTGTCAGTTCAGGAGGCAAACTAACTTCCAGGGCAGCCAGGCAGAGAGTGATGGCCCAGAGAGAAGAGCAGCTTGCAGCACAAAAGGTGTGTGTCTTCAGGAAGAGAATGTAAATGCATTTCCTTGAAAAAATAGAGTTGTTGTGCACTGATCTAAATGTCAGGGTTTATTCAATAACAGGAAAGGATCAGTCAAGTCTTACGGGAACTTGAAGAGGATCAGATACAAGTAGTGAAACTAGGTGATGCCTCCATTGCTGCCCCCTTCACCTCCAAACTCTCCTCCATACAGTGCAGTGAGTAACACTTGTTTATAATTTCAGCTCTTGACACAGTTTGCAAAGACCTGAACATAAAGCTGCTCCCCACCTCTGAAACCTGTTGCTTCGTCTTTTCCCCCCAGTCTGCCATGTAATAAAGCAAGGCCGTTGCACTCTGGTGACAACGCTTCAGATGTTCAAGATCCTCGCCCTCAATGCCCTCGTGCTGGCCTACAGTCAGTCTGTACTCTACCTCGAGGGGGTCAAGTTCAGTGATTTCCAGGCAACATTGCAGGGCCTCCTCTTGGCCGGCTGCTTCCTCTTCATCTCTAGATCAAAGGTGAGAAGTTGTGTAAGAAAATAGTGTCTCTATATGTTTTTGATTTATTATTCTCCTAGCAAAGTAATCTTTAAAGAATGTTTTTCTTCTGACATGACAAAAATCTCCTGCTTTTGATAGAAACCAAATTAATAGTGTTTTTTTTCCCCCACCTGTTTGCACAGCCACTGAAAACGTTGTCTCAAGAGCGGCCCTTACCAAACATCTTCAATCTTTATACGGTGTTGACTGTGCTGCTGCAGTTTGCTGTTCACTTCTGTAGTCTAGTGTACCTTTACAGAGAGGCACAAAGCAGAAGTCCGCCCAGGTAAATCACAGTAGAACAAAAGTTTTAAATATTATAAGTATTTAATATTAATAATACAATAATACATTATAATAACATTTCACTTGTCCTTACTCTTTTGCAGTGTGGAGCAGTTTGCAGATCTATATAAAGAGTTTGAACCCAGTCTAATCAACAGCACGGTGTATATAATGTCCATGGCCATGCAGATGGCCACCTTTGCCATTAACTACAAGGTAATTATTCTTAATACCATTAGTCTTTCTTATCTCTGCATTCTTTGTAATATATTAGACTCACAGTATTTCTTGTTATGTCTATAGGGTCACCCCTTCATGGAGTCTCTCAGCGAGAATCGACCACTACTATGGAGTATCGGTCTGTCAGGTTTAGCCATTGTGGGACTTCTTACTGGTTCCTCACCAGAATTCAATGAACAGTTTGCTCTTGTAGATATTCCAACTGAGGTGAGCTGGCATTACTTTAACATGGATTGTTTTTTTGTAATAGCCTTGTAATAATAATGACCCCCCTAACCTGCTTCCTTCTTGTTTCCTTGCAGTTCAAATTAATCATTGCCCAGGTTCTGGTAGTGGACTTTGTCGTCGCTCTGCTGGTGGACCGTGTCCTGCAGTTCCTGCTGGGCAAAGGAACTCTCAGGCTGCCTTCTTGAACTCAGTGCCAAAAGCGACCGCTGCCCTTACCAACCAAACTGTAAAGGGAGAGAAGACTCTGGAGAAGGAAGAGAATTAAAGCTGTTGTGACAAACACAAGGCAGCTGAGAACAAATCATGGCGTGCAGCACCATACACTCCGTGTATCCCTTCCTTCGTCCTGCTCTGCCCCCATCTGTGTTTCTGTATTTTCATCAGCTCTGTTTTTCAATGCTTTCTTTTTTCTTCATAACTCTTTATTTTTTTTCTACATCTCTCTCTCTTTCTTCATCTGTCCCTCCCCACTGCTACACAAGGCCATGAAGACAGCAGTATTGAGTGGAGTGCAAGACTGTGTGCCAGCCAGAGTGAAACATACAGGCACAAAAAAGGGGCATTCTCTAAGAGAATTGCAAAAGTGTTTGATTTTTTTGATTCCTCTCCTTGATTTTGTAAAAAGTGAAACACTTCTCTAACAGACTTATAAAGACTTAAAGATACAAATTATGAAGTCTGTCAAGTGTTTTGTCAAGTACAAGTACTGTCTGCACATGGAAAGGATGAGCATGTCCAACTGACCATGAAATATCCTGTTTCCAGAAATAGGTAAGTAAAAAATGATGAGGGAATAAAATATAGTATAACTACAAAAAAAGACATTCCTCTCATGAAACATTTGACACTGGTCAAAACAAACATCTCTTCTTATTAAGTATCAGTGGATCAAAAATGTAAATAATTCCGGTTTACTCTCAGTTTGTATAAACAAATTCTATAAATTGGAGTCCTTATAATTTGTTGAAAACAACCTAGCAAAACAAAAATATACACACAGTCAAGAATATACATTCAAGAGGTTGTCACATCAAAGCAGTTTTCTGAGAAATTAGATCCAGCCTGTAGGGATTGTTATTTTCTGCTTAATTAATAAAAAGGAGGCTGACATGTGCACTTTAGATGAAAATGTGGTGAAGGTGATTTTCACATTGTTGAAATTATACAGTGATTAATATAATAGGCTCCCCGAAGGACTGTATTTTTCCTTTAGAAAGCACCATAAGAATTCACTTACTAGTCAAGGACATTTTGGCCACTTATTATGAATCATTGAATTTCTAATGACTCTCTTTTATAGTTTAAAAAATATATAAAGTAATATAATAGTAATTGAAAAGGTCATTTTAAAGAGGACAACATGAAGAAATCTTTGAAAACAGTTTAACCTTTTCTTTATCATTTTCATTTGAACTGTATATTTGCTTTGTTTGCGGGTATTGCACACAAGTTCCTATCTCTTTTCCACATAATAGATAGGAATTTGCTTAATGGTGAATATGAATACATTTCAAACAGAAGTAAATGCTCAAATGACTTTGTCCAACACTCCATTACGTAAAGAACTAGTGTGTCTATATATATATATATATGTGTATATATATATATATATATATATGTGTGTGTATATATATATATATATAATATTTGTTTGTCCATCAATGGAAACATCTTAAGGGGTCAGGAAATACCCCATAAGGGATGTATTATGTATCATTGAAAATTCCAGAAAAGACAGGTGTGTGATTCCCTGAAAAGCTTGGGTAAGTGTTGGTCAGATACAGTATGACTGGATAAAGGAAAGATATGAATGACAACAAGTATGAGGGTCATTGAGGTAGTATTCATGACTGAATCCAGATCTCAGCAGATAAAATAACACTGTTGCAAAAATGTAAAACTACAACAAATAGCCAGCGGTTGGGAGATGTCATAAAGGAGGTTAACTGCTGTTGAACACAAGGTCTTAGCTAGATATCACAAATACAACTCATGTGTACAAGGATGATCAGGCCATGTTGCCCCTTTAAACTAGTAGGTCCATGCTTGTTCTTAACTAGATCTAGGGGGTTTCAATAGGCCCTACAAGAGGATTGGATTCCTCCACATTCACATTTGATTTCCTGGAGTATTCACTTAAATAAATGAATAAATTATTGTATTTGATAAATATTCATATTTTATTATTAATGTTATCTTCCATATATAAGTTTTCAACGCCTACACCTCCCATTAGGCTATTTACCAAAGACTGAGACCAAAGAGCATCTTTGCACCTTGTTTAAAGGCGCTGTTGTCAAACTACAATCACAATACATTTCCCATGATGCTTAGGTACGTGGAGGGGTTTGGCTAGATGGGCGCGATGTGAAGAAAACCATTTGAACGAAAAAATGGCGGAAAAATATTTGGAAGCTGGGCAAGACTGGTTTGTATACTTTTCTTTTACTAGAACAAACGATGTAACTATAAACGTGGACGTTGCATTTAGCAAATCAAATAAACCACTTCCAGCTAACGCTAAAGTGTTATATCTCCGCCTGAATTTTGCCCAAAGCAAATTAGTGTTGTGGTCTGTAGTTCTCAACAGTTAACGTGAACGTACACAAACGTTTTTACGTTTTATTTTACTGACTTTCCGTAAATTAACGTTAACTTGTGAATTCATAAACATTTCTTGCAGTTGCGGAAGTGTCGCCGTTGCTGACACCCAGGATGAGGTAAGTGAAGTTAATACGTTTTAACTGCCATTTAGGATAGCAAACTAACAACACCTCAGCTAATCCCGTAACGTTATCCTTGAGCTAATCATACTTGCGTGTCACTGCGTCAATCTCTCTGTAATTTACCAAGGTCGACTCAGTGAAACAGACATCAAAAAGATGCTCCCCCACACAAATCTCCACGCACCCACTTTATATCACCCACCACACAGATGTCAGATGCAGTGGAAGGACGTTCAGAGACAGGCAAACAAGAAATGCAGGCAGAAAACACAGAGGGAACTTCATATCCCACTGTCAGCCCCGCTGCACGGAGGAAATCCTGGAGGAGAGCAACCATAACCCGACGCTCTCTCCCTGTCATCCTCAACCCATATCGGGGTGAGATGTCTGCTTTCTTGCACTTAGTATTCAGTAAAGATTTGTCAGATAGATTGTTTTTTGCTATATAAATAACTATATGTTTATTGTAGTTTTGTGCAGGAGCATAAGTACATCCTTGTCACAACAAGAGAGGCTGGAGAAATTGATGGAGGCTTCAATGAAGGTGAGTATGGTAGGGCCATGAGTACAATAGTAAATTCATTGGGACAAACTTAACAGAAATGTGAGAAAGTAAATAGGCGGTTTCATAGTATGTTTCTTTTTATGTCACTGGTATTGGATGTTTGAGATCTTTTTTTCGCTTAACTGAAAATATCAGTTTTTAACAAATAATGAACATGCGCTCTGGTACTGACAACACTGAAACATTAAAAACACTTATTAAATTGCAATTAATAACTAGAGATTTTGAATTGTAATAAAAGTTGTGTTATATGTAGCAAAATATGACATTAACTGAAAGTTAAATTCAGAACTTTAGAGACACATCAAATTTTATGGTTTTATTCAGGAGTGCCTACCTACTATACATAAGATGTACTCATAATTTTAATATTTTAGCAATTATGCCTGGACTGTAAGGGTCTTGGTTGCATTAGGTAAGAGGGCAACATACAGTTAATTTGAATTAGTCATAACTAAAAACCGTAAGGAATCTCCTTCTAATGGCCTCTGTTTTGTCTCTAGCTGGTAATAGAACGAACTCAAAATTTGCTGCAGTCGGTGCCAAACACCTCACTGGAGTCTTTTCAGAAACAAGGTTAGTGCTTGCACTGCTTCATTTGGTACATATTTCACGGAGCTCTTTATTTTAACTGAATGGCTGTCAGAAATATTCGGTTTAATTTATTTCTTTATTCTTTATATCTTCCTTGGTGCAGTGGAGCAAATGCAGAAAGAGTGGGGTTGTCTGGCCAAAGGCCTGCGCAGTAAACCACAGGGTCATCAACTCCCTGCTAGTGCAGCCAGGTATTATAGCTGTTTTTTATTTATTCAGTACTCTGTGTGTATTTTATATATACACATACTTTTTTGTTTGTTTTGTTTTGGCCCAACAATTTTTACTGCATGTATGCCTCTGTTATTTGCTTTCAGTTCTAGTGACCCTGCAGTGCAAAAAGCCATGGAGAAAGTCCAGAAAGCCATCAACAGGCATGTCGTTCCTTAATATAACTATAGCATACACAAAGTATTCATACAAACTATGCATTCAAAATGTAAAAAACACAGATTGTGTGACCTACCACACAATATTCTTTTGTTTTGTCTTTTACCTGTCTGTGTTGTGTTTTAGGCTCCAGGCTGAAAGTGAGTCTTGGGATGTACTGTTGAACAAACACAGGAGTAAAGCAGAGGAATTGCAAAGGTGAACACGTATACTGTCATTGAGGAATACTGTAGCAAAACTGTTATAGTGTGTAAAATGGTCTTCTCAGTTTTGACAATAATGTGTGCTCTTTGTTTGTTGTAGGAAAGTGGAACAGGGCCAGGAGAGAGGCGTATCATTAGACTCTACATCTGTGGCCCAGTCCTCACAGTACCATTTCATACAGAATAAACCGGACTACCAGAGTGTCCTCTGTAGACAACAGCCCATGCTTCATACCATGGAAATGATTGTATGTTGGAAATCATATTTTTATATAGTTACAACAAAATTATAAACACATCAGTAGTAAAAAGTATTGACTTTTAGCAAAAGCGGAAATCTTTACGGTGTGTTATTACTATATCGCTCTTATATACTAAAAAAGTGGAAGAATCACTACTTTGCTGGGACAGTGATGAAACACAAAACAGCTGCTACTGGTTTATGGGTAGCTTAAATGCTGGGTGGGGGTGGTTGATGTGAAATAATATAACTAGTGCAACATCTATACTCCTTTGCCCTATTTGCTGTACTTTTATTACGGCAACCTATGTTTTTTCAGTCAGCTTGTTGCTATGAGTGATGGAGTCCTACAAGAACAGACTATTTTCTGCTAAAGTTAGAACAGTTTTCTGTTTTGCTTGGTTATAAAAAAAGTAAAAGTTGGTGTCACATATTTCTGTGCAACAGTCAAAGTTGAGCAACATTTGAAACCCAAGAGATGTCGGGTTGTTTGCTTTTGTTGCCAGCACTGAATCACGTTTAGATCAAACCACACCCACATAGCCCTGATAAAGCAGAGTATCTGGGTTTGTTCTTTTTTTTTTTTTTTTTTTTTTACCAAACCTTAACTCTCGTGGTTGCATGTTTTTTGTCATTTTGTCAATATTTATTGCCAAAGACAACATCTCAAATATGAAGACATCGAACCTGTTGAAAAACAATAAACATCTGTACTGATTTTATTTTGATCTGCTACGTCATGTTATGTAATCATTTATTCCCTTTTTACGTGTAGATGGGCACTCAGTGTAAGATGGTTAGAGAGCTTCTGTCCATCAAGGAGCAGTCGCAGTTATTGGTGAAAGAGACCAGTGGCCGACTGGGTAATGATTGTGATTGTGTTTTGTCTTTCATCTTTTCTACGGAATCAACAATGGTGTGGTAATTTAACATTAAATCTTGTTTCTTTTTCCTACCAGCGGCAGAGGCAGGATTCCAGGATCTTTCACCTGACCTCATCAGGAACCTTATGGCAGCACCTTTATCCTCCGCACGTACATAGTCACTCTGGCATGAGATAAGCATAAGCAATCAATTTTCTAATGGACCGTGCCCTTTGTATGACTTATAGATGAAGCTCATGTGTGTATACTTTCTGGTAATTTTTCTATGATGTGATTTGACAACATTTAATTTCTTCTCTCTATCTTTGTTGTCTCATTTTATAACTTAAAGTAAGCTCTAATGTTGTGTTTAATGTAAATGTAATGTTTTCTGTGTCAAGTAAACCATTTCTGTCAGTTCAGGTAATCCATGTGGTTGACCAGCAGGTGGCAGTAGCTGGCAATAAAAAATTATTGCGAATGGCCAGACTGAAATTTTTTTGTCTAGCCTTTAGTGCATTCTCACCTGTAAAACCTGAAACAGTTGAGACCAGATTGCCGTTAGAACATAAGTAACAGAAATGTTTTAGAAGACTTTGGGGAACATCCTGCAAAACAATGTTATTGGTCATTTTTCATAAAAACACTTTAGAGTGGTTATTACGCTGTCTTATAAAGACTGATTTGTCTTTATAAAATTGACTGTTTAAAATTTGAGTCATGGGATGTGGTGACATTTTTAATTGGGTTGATTACTTCAATGTTATAAATGTCCTCAAAAGTCCCTATAGAGTAACATAACTGTATTACTGTATATATGGTGTCATTTTTAAAAAGTTATTAAACCTGTGAAGAAATGTGACATTTTTTTCAGTTGGATTCGATTTGTACAACAGAGGAAAGCAATAACAATAAAAATGATGAAGCTGTGAGCAAAACAAATAGTTTAAATACAGAAGGATTCTGTTCTGTAGTTTGCCTACAGTCTTTATGTGTCTTTTTTACATGCTCATACTCACATTTACTATGTGGTGCTGCATCTATTTCACTTCATCAGCGTCCCCTGACCATTCAGGAGGAGGCCCCTCCCCCACAGTGACTCACCCCCATCTCTTGCATTTGGTTGGGTCACTGACGCAGAACGAAGCTTTGACATTGTACCAGTCAGTCAAAGCTTTGTTCGCTTTTACTCCTATCTCTTGGACCCATTCACTCATTAATGTTCATACTTAATTTGTTTCTCTGATGATTACAGCAAGATGAAAGCCGTCACCCCATTGCCAACAATAAACAAGAGTGAATGACTTTCTGTGCTCTGGAGTTGTGATCTTGAATTTTCCTTGTGATTGTATTCAAGAGAATGACTAGAGAGCACGGGGACAAGCAAAGAGAAGACAAGTGGGGTTGTGACCGTGAGGTGCACAGCGGGAGAGATCGATTCTTATTTAGATGAAAATGAGGCTTGATGCTTGTGGGGTGAGAGGAGGGCAGCTTTAGCATCCAAATGAATAGAAGTTTCACAGAAATTATCGTTAAGTGGATCACCAACAATAAAATATAAAGAAGTTTACAAAGCCACTGACATAGACTTTCAAGTAAGGTCTATCTTGACAGTGATAGACACTGACTTTGGGGGTTAGATGGTCACCCCTGCAGCACTTACAATTTTATGATACACTGTGTTTTAACAACCTCAATGAGACCAGTAAATGGCATATTAGAAGTAATTCTTGTGTATGATGATTGAATTAGAAGTGTGTGATTTGGATGCAGTGCATTTTTGGATAAAGGTGCCTTGGGTGTGAGCAGGCTCTCTGGGTTCCTCGTTTGAAAAGGATTATTAGTCTTATTTACTTAAACCCTGACATTTAATACAATTGCAGGTGTGGTTGTGGTAGGGATAACTGTATTTAAAGGGTTAAAATCCACTGCTTGGTGTAACCGCCAATAAACCTGAATTGTGACTTGTACTATATGCACATGCAAAGAACAATTACTGTTTAGGTTTACTGTATTCTCTATTTGTGCTGTCTCTAACTTTAGATTGATTAGCTACAGATTGTAGTAGATGGATGTGTGGAGAGTCAGCATAAACCATTGCCAGTTTGGTCCTACTCTCTCATGCACACCCATCATCTCTTCTCAGTACAGCAAGACTGGCTGCAGCTCTCCTCCACATCCATTCAGCCAGCCATTTGTCTTGGAAAGCTGTCTCTCTGATCTGAGTGATAAACTACAGCAGAATTGCCCAGTTTGCAAAAAACAAGGACACTTGTTTTCAATCTGTGCTGTCAACATTTTCATACTGAAAACTGATGGGATGTTTCATTCATTGGGGGGTTAGGACAGAATGATAGTCTTAGGTTGGACTGTTTTGCTTTGATATTGAATATTGGTGTTGAAATTGCCACAATTTGCCCACACAGATGGATATCGGTGAATTGGCTTTTAGGCACAACTTATGAAATGACACTGACTTGAGGCCCAAGAGACATGTATGTTGTGCCTTTTTAGATTCATACTACTCTTGCTCAAACAAGTCTAAAAATATGTACAATCTCAGAGGCTGTAGTTATTACACACTGTTTTCTAATGTTTATAGCTGTGTGTAAAGTTTGTTATTAAAACAGCATGCAATCCCACTCTTCAAATCTTTCAAAGTTTTGTTTAGAAATGCATTTGGTGATGCCACCTTATATTAATGAGGAAAAACTGCGTTAACCTATTAAAAGGATAAATAATTCTGATGACGTAAGGGGCTATCCATTTGTAAAGGTCGTACACGACTTGTCACCTGGATGAATAATGGAGTTATGAGGTCCGGAACGCTGTGTTATACATAATATTTTCATCATTGTTGCCTATCTTAGCCCAGCTAATACAGAAATGCATCTACATCATTATCTGTCTCTTCTATAGTGGTCTACTGATGAAGCCGCCCGCACGCTCGCGGTCTGTGGTGCTGCGAGTTCAATGGTCAACGCGACGCACACCGCTCGCGCAGCCCTGAACATCCCACATACTCGCGCGACATCAATAACAATGGCAAACCGTGGTCTGTTTTGGTAGGAGATTTGTGATTGGAGCTAGACGGTCAGCAAGCTTAGTCGCTGTATCCATGTCTTATTTCTTTTTTTAAATTGGCGAGTTTTATTTCTAGATAAGAGTGTTCGTCCATTGATATATATTTCGTTTTTACATTTTTTTTTCTCGAAAATGTGCGAGGCGCTGTTGGCAAGCTCACACAGTCCGTGCATGTGTGTCCCTGCTGCTTTTCTGCTGGGCTACAGCTACTAACCTAGCTGCTTTTCACTCGGTGGTTAGCTAACGTTAGCCTGCCCGCTTTTTATTGACTTGAGGGGGGAAAACACAACCGAATGTAAAGCGTGTTTGTGTGATTTGTTTTATGACAACACCCTTTAACTATTTTCTAATCGTTGCTGTCGGATACGATAAGAAGTGTTGTATGATTTGTCGTAGAAAATACTTTGCTGGCTAGCTAACAGGCTAGCTATTTGTGTGTATTCTTCGACTGAGGAAAACGGCGAGTTTTCTTTGAAAGTATGGATGACCAGACCAGGATGATGACGGGTCTCACCGGACTCGGTGGACTATCACAAGCCGATGTTGGTGACCCAGACTCGGTTAGGAAACAACAGTCCCTCGGCCAACCTCAACAAGACATAGGGGATATCCTACAGCAAATAATGGCCATCACCGACGAAAGCCTGGACGAAGCACAGGCCAGGTAAGACGGGCGAAGAGCCATTTTCCACTCAAGACAGCTAAGCTAAAGTGCGTTGTATGTGTCTTTATTTTTGCTTTAGTTCTCGAGCGTAAATGTAATGCGTAATTGCAAAATGTATGCAAATGCATGTAATTCGCCGTTAACCCAGTACATTTAGTTACAGAATAACTTGAACTCCCACATTACAGTGCTGTTGTAGTTTGAAAGGAGGTTCTTTGTTACTTCATATCGTGCTTTCTTGTAAATTGTAGTTTGTAAACATGCTGACTTGGTTGAAATATGGCGACAAAGTTTATCTTAATTGGTTTGTCAATGAAGTGTTAAATTAAAAAGTTTCTACTTCCTATCGAGTCTGTGGCAACGGTAGCCGTATAAAATGCACATAACCACTTGCCTCTGTAATTGCGTTGCATGGATCTTTTGGTTTAAAAAATGGTAGTTACATTAGGCCACATCATTTGATAATTTGAAAGGCTTTTATTACCGCCTGCATGAAAAACTAAACTTACATACTTTATACTTAGTTTTAATAATTAATAAACTTATCAGTAGTGCATCAACAACATCCAAAATGCGTTCTAACATAGTGCATGTTTCAAGTTGATAAAGTCAGAGCTGTCTGAGTGAAATCAGGTCTTCTGGTCATGTAGCCAAATCTTCCACATATTGCCTTTCAGTCTGCCAAATTAGATTTGCCTAATTATAACAACATGTATCTGAACTGCTGCTCTACATCAGAGTGTCAATAACATTAAATCATTGAAATGCAAATGAGTGACTAGATTGATGTAAGGGTAAGGATTACTCTGCTGTCCCAGGTATCAGCCCAATGCTGTCTGTGATAACAGCAATCATTCATTCATATGATTCGCCACCAGCTCGCCACTTAATGTTTGTGTTAGGGGGGTTTTACTTGTCATTATTGTAAAGAGTATGCACTACAGTGACTGAGCGACCTGCACTCATTTGCCATGTGGCTCAAGGAGCATAAGGTCAGTTTCAGATGAAGCGTCAGTATTTCAACAATAGACAACCGTCCACTGCAAGACTGTGGCCACAGTGTGATGTGTCATTAGCTAGTGATTTTCCACCCAACATTTGACCACCTGGTTCTCTTAATTAATTCACTCCTCTTTCACTCCCTCCCTCCCTAGTGTTCATCCTTTTCATTGTGTGCTGGGTGCAATCAATTCTCCTATAATGTGTACGCGAGTGCAGCTGTCCGCAAATCGAGTTTCTATTAATGAGATGGTGGTGAGGGGGAGGGATGATGCTATACCAGCAGCCTATGAACACTGGGATATTACCTTTTCTTCAGTACAAGTTTGAGGACTTAATCAGGCCTTACTGTATGGACAAATGCAAATATTTTTACTTTGTAATATTACTGTAGTCATATTCTTTTCCTGGTCTTTTTTTCCATTTATGATTTGTGCTGACCATTTACAAATGGTTAGACTGTGGTGAATCATATAATGTAAATTAGAGTTTTTACAATTTTGGATTTAAATTAGATAGTAGAGTAGAGATCATATAGCAGGCTTAATATTAGATGTTAACAGGCTATTCTGAAAAACTAATTAAAGGTGTGGCTGCTTCGGAAGTGCCAGAGGTGTCCTTGCTGTATGCTTGTATTGATCTAAACTCCCACTCAGAGCAAGTCCTCATCATGCCATATATGTGCAAGACTAATACTAAAAAGGCAGCAGCTTACTGTTAATTCAGTGGTTCAGATTGCGTGGTATGTACAGCTCAAATCCTTGATGCGTATGTGTATAATCAATAAAGGCAATTGTCATATTTAAATATTCATCTTGTGAACACTATGTGTTTAGCAGTAGCTGACAGACGAGCTTGCACCGAGGAATCATTATGCTGTTTACTAATTTGCTTCTCAGGTTTACTTCAGGTAAAAAGCCAAAACATAACCAGACAGTTTGTTGTTACTGAAATGTAGCAGTTGATAAGTAAGTAAAATGTACAGTCTTTATGAGCATCATACTTAACTGTGATCAAGTTTGACACCTACATATTAATCTTTCCCTCGGTCATGATCTACAAATTAATGTGTGAGATGGCTCACATGTGAGCATGACGCCCTTGTCGTGCAGGGTGGCAGTGTGTTGGGATGGGGAGTGGTTAGGGCAGCGCAAGAACTTGGTGTTGCAGAGTACACTTCCTGCGCACCATCCGCCCTCATCCTCTCACCCTGTCGCCATATGTTCAGATGCTGGCCAGAGGAATCGCCGGCGCATTGGGGTGGATCAGACGACCCCACAGAGGGAGGGAGAGCAGGGGGGGGCATGGCAGGGGGTGGCCTGCCACTCAACTTCCAGCACAGGTCAGTACAGGACCGCATGAGCACCTCCTTCTCCCCCTCCTGCTCATACCCTCCATGCTGAAGGCAGCCCTCCCCCCAACTCAAATCCAGCAGTGACAGAATTGGTGGACAAAATGACATTTAATGCCAGACACATAACACTTTACATCATACTGCCTCAATATTCTCACAGAAAGACAGTCTTTCGTGGCAAATACAGTAGGCGCACTATTTGCTAGTCACCATCGTCCCCTCATTAATACTGCAGTGGACATTCACAACTGGAATTGGTGTTGAGGTCAGGTGTAGCCAAATCATATTCATCTGTGGTTGTTTTTAATGTGTTGTTGGCAATGTTATTTGGAAAAGAAATGCTTTATTTTAGGGTGATCTTCAGCGGGTTTTTTGTTTCATGTTTTCCAATTCATGCTCATCAGAAACGGAGGCCTCACGCTGGTTTTGTTTTTCACCTTAATGTTTATTGTACTTTTCCAATGACTTAATAAAGTTGTTGCCACTGAAACCTGTTTTTACAATAAATTATGCCCGTTGTGATTTGTAAAACTCTCCATAGAACACATCCACATGCATGTGTTTAAAAATAAATTTAAAAATCCATAGAGTGCACGAATAACAGAAAGATTTTTACAAGCTAATGCAATATTACAACAGCACTGCAAACTATGGCCATCACAGTTACCATAGAGTTAAACGGCATCTTCTGACAATCTCAACAATAGTGGAACCTTATAAGTTACACGGGTGTAGTATAATGTATTGCATGCTTAGTTACATGTTTTTATTATGTGTTCCTTTCACATTTTTGAATGTGAAAAACAATTGGAGGCTTTAAAATGCAGTCCCTCTTTCTCTTTGATAAAATTGGTGTGCACTGTCTGTATAGTTATATTGGAGACTATAGTGTCAAGTCATTTAGGGTCGTATGAGGATCAGAGATTTGCTACAGCATTCCAGTCTTACAAGTTTTAATACACGAGTGAGTTGTGTGGGTGTATGGATGTAGCAGGGCATTTTGTTGCTAAGGTGTTCTAATTTCATTATGGTGAACTGTATAAGTTTTGCCTTTTCTCTTAATTGCTATTAGCCTGTTTGGCAATAAAGAGAACATCTCTGATTAAATTAAAATTGCAACTTAATCCTAATCCTCTCTATCAACTCACATCTACTTTTGTGGAATGAGTCTTTCTGTAAGAGGTAGAAATTAGATTACTGTGAATTAACTCTGGAATCTGGTGCTCAGTAATGATGACCTTGAGGTTTGGCATCATTACCTGTTCCACAGTGCAAAGCATCCAAATGACAACATTACTCTTGCTAGTTCAGATTGATGCATCAGGGTTGTTTCTACACGGACAAAGGCATTTGGCAATTGAAAATACCTTTTAAACAACATGGCTCTGTCCTGCTGTGTTGCACTCCTGAAGTGCTGTATGCATATTACAGCTCTTCTACCTGGTTTATTTGGGAAGACATGGAATGATTTGAGATGGAGGTCTGTTTATCGTAATCCTCCTCGCTCTCTCCCTCTCTTATTCCCTCTTCTCTCTTACAGGAAGCATGCCCTGAACTGTCACAGGATGAAGCCAGCCCTCTTCAGCGTTCTCTGTGAGATCAAAGAGAAGACGGGTGAGTTTCTACTTCACTCATGCTTTGTGTTCTCCTGTCTGCACAGGTTGTAACCTAGTGTTGAGATGTAGTGTGCCTTTGCTCCAGTTTCCCTGGCACAAAGTTACTTTTCCATTGGTCTTGCAGAGAACTCTATTGATTTGAATATTGATTATATTTGTTGTAGAACTGATTTAGCTGCATGTATTGTGCATGTTTTGGTTTTAGATAATGCAAAATAGGCATTGCCGCTTGTTGTTTTGGCCTAGGAATTATAGAAACTTAACCTATTTTTGGCCACTGTTCAGACTTCACACTGACCTGCTGAAACTAATCTTAGAGTCAGACAACAGAAGTTGCTTCAGAACATGCAAACAATTCTTGAGGTAACATACTTATTTATTGCTGCAATTTTGTTAATCTTTTGACCTGGAGAACCTGAATGCAGAAATATACTGCTTGATTTAACATGTTTTCATTTTTGTCAATTTCCATCTCAAATGAACCGTAATGTGGCAAAATTTATGAATCAGGCTCTTACAGAATGTCACAGCAATATTTATTATATTAAGGCAAGGGAAGACATAATGCTACAACTACGACTACTACAAACTATCAAATCCAAATGATTAGATTAAAAAATCAGACCTGACAGAAAGTTCATGCACAGCTAGTTGCCAGCAGGCAGACAGGGGAAAAAACACAGATGTGGAAAAGTTCATAGAGGTTATTTCATTACAGTCAAACTGTTACCAAAAGGTTTTTTTCCCCCACACTGTTAAAAAAAGCTACACAGTGTATGGTAATTGTGTATTGGCAGTAAATTGCTATGCACATTAATACAGTACCTCACAACATGCAAAGCAACAAGAAACTATTCTGACACTGTCTTAACAAAATAATCCTGAATTTCAAATACACATGATATCATGGAAATTATTGCCATATGTTCATGTAAATATCTCAGATTTGCTCATACTGGTGAAATTATTCAAAATAAACACGCAGCTTATTCTCATCTTGTTAGCTATTCGAGTCAGCTATCTGACAGATTCTTGTGTGGTTCAAAGGAACAGGCCTGTGAAGGATGGCAGAGGTGCGTTTTTATATCCTCTCCCTCTGCCAGTCCCTCCGTTCTTGTATTTCTATGTGCTTTTCTCTTTCACTTGCCTTGTACATCTTCTAACAGCAAACTCTCTTGTTCAAATACAATTTGAAAATGCTGCACTGCTGCCTGTTGTGGCCCTCTGTCAATAATGTATTATTGCTCTCCAGTGATTGGACTAAAGTAAAGACTAGGCTTGAGTGAGTGGGGCAGGGTACACTGTTTCCCAGGCAACCAGTGGTCTTATTTACTCTAATGCCATTCACTTTGATTTTCACATTTAGTCTCCCAGCAAGATAGAGAGATGGTTTGTGAGTACTCATACAGTAAGCTAAGCAGAAAAACAGACAAGGCGTTGAGGTAGGTTAACGATAGATTCATGCTTGAGATGAATATGCCAACCATGATATATTGAGATCTTTGGCTTTGCCTGTACTCTGCTGGCCATCTGCCACGTAGTGCCCTCCTAACTGCACGGTGTACCTGCTTTGGCATTTCTTTGCTACTCCATCAGACCCCCTGCAGGCCCCATTATGTGCCTCTGGAATGTGAATTGACTTCTCTTCAGTGCAGCTTGTGGAAGACCCAATCAGTAGTCCTCTGGTATCTCCACAGATTTTTCTGCAGTCTTTTTTTTTTTTTTTTTCTCTAACAAACATTCACTTGTGTTGGCACACACACTCACACATACACAGACTGTGTATCTCTTGCACACATATGCACACACTGAACAGGGATAAAAGCAAACTCGGTCTTGGGTCTACTCTACTGCCTCGGTCTTGTCCTCACCCCCTCCCTCCCTCCCTTTGCCTCGCTCCCATTCTTGAAAGAGAAGACTTGCTCTGAACTCGGGGCTTTGATATGGTAATGTAATGGTGGTGGAGTAGGGGTGGTGGGGTGTGGGGGATGGGAGGTGAATTCCTCTGAGTGCTGCAGTTGGTTAGATTGTTTTCATTGTAAAGAAAATGTTCTGCGCTAATGCCAGTACCCCCCTCTCCAACCTCCACCACCCCAAAACACCTCCCATTTTACAACAGTGCCTGCGTTGTCCTGAGCTCTCACATTAAACATGACCTCCATCTGCGTGAAATTTGATTCTTGTTAATACTATATTAAATATACACTGTAAAAGAGAAATTAAAGCACTTGGAGGGACATGGGAAATGATCAAAGTTGAAAGCCAGTGGCTTTGCTTCAACTCGGTTCTGTTCTCCCTCGCTCTCATGGGTATTTGCTGTAAAAATAGCTCTTGGTGCAATGGGACAGCTTATGCCAAAATCTCTCACAAGCCACTGCAGTTACTCTCAGAAGTTCTTCATTTAGTTTGGGTATGTTTGAGGCGTTTCGTCTTACTTTCATGCATTCCTTGTGCTTTACACATGACAACAGTGAATCTGTCACTCACTCTGTTCTGTCACCCTGCTCAAGTCAAACATGAACATTCCTAGTTGTTTATTTTTGGACAGGTTTTAAATTAAATAAAAACAGTTTTTCAAGTTGAATTAAAGCTATATGGGTTTTTTTTTAGCTTGGAGATGGCAAATTATATTGCAGGGCTCCCCCCCTTGGACAAGTTCACACCCTAACACTTGCCACTCATCTTGATAAGCTGTCTGATAAACAACTCTGTGGGATAATGCCGCTTGTTGGCTGTGTAGAAATAGTGACAAACTGGCTAGTATCCTATCTATCTAAGACTGAAATGGCTGAAATGTTACCTCATCATTACACCACTAGTGTCTATACACCACTAGTCATAGATATGCAATCTGTATCTCTTATCAACAACAGTGAGGTTTTTACAACAAGGACACCCTGGTGGCCTGTAGCCAATGTGATGTTAACTTAGGCCAGTTGATTGCTGTTAGGTGCCCAGTTGTGCCAGTGTCCTAACAATGTGCCTGGGGCACTGGTTATTTGCTGTCTGCCTCTGCCACAGGCTCACTCCCTTCTATCTGTGCATTTTCTGACCAGCCTCTGAGCTTAATTTTACATTGCCTCCAAATAATAACTTCACTGTTTGGTTGAAAATGAAGATCAGTCTGGTAGTGTTTCTTTAATTTGACTATGATGTTGGATTCAAGTGTCTTATTTATCTAACCACCTACAAGCCCCAAAATCCCACAGTCGATGCCCGCCAGTAGAGCCAGCAGCACTTAGCTAGTATGTTGGCAAAGCGGCTAGCTGACAACCCATCATCACATCCTATTAATGTTTTGACAAGATGGATGAATGGTGAGGGTGAGATTGAGCAAACTCAATGAACTCGCTCCCTGGTTTATGTTTTGTCAGTGCTGTTTCTGGTTACATTTAAGATAAATGCTTTTCCTGTTTAGTTATGATAGCTTATCAATGAATACAATTTTTTTTTTTTTACAATTAATAAAATTCAAATATATTCAGAATAAACTTTTTCTTTTTCTGTGGATTTATTGCTATATATTTTACATTTTGTCAAAATTAATTTGACTGTGATGAACACTGAACACTGTTGTGTTGACTGTCCAGATTTGTAAAATTCTAGCTCAAAGGAGTGTAAACCACATGCAGTGTGTTGGAAATTACTAAGCCTTACAAGTGGTTCATATTATTATATATATATATTATTTATCTATTCTGTAAACTGTAGCAACACACCCACAACAGTGTAGCACTTTGTGTTGTTTTGTGTTTTAAGTAGGACTGTCACACGATAATTTTTTTCTTAATTGTGATTAATTGCTGAATTTCAATAGTTAATCACGATTAATCGTATGTTGTATTACATGATTAAAATTCTATTATTATTTTATCTCAACTGTTTTAAGTCTGTATTAATAATAACAATTCTTACCAGTGTATCTTGATTGGAAATCAAATTAATGCAAAGAAAGTTAGTTTATGAACTTGACTTTTAGATTTATTTGATTATTTCAAATCAAAAGATGTGCAACAAGACTGAGGTAAAACAATCAATGTCTTCAGAAATAAAGTCTTCCTTAAGCTCGCTTTCAAAAATTCTACAGCAAAGGTGCATGCACAAATGTACACACAAGTGCACAACAAACAAAATACACACCACTCCATTGCTACATTATTTTTGAGTTCAGTTGAAACCAATGATACAGCATTTGCTTTAAGTAGGAGTTTCAGTTTGGCTGCTTTCTCAGTTTCAACAATTGTCCCCTGCGACAACAATGTACATGACTTGCACTCTCCAAAATAGTGCTTTGCCTCAGTCCGCTAGCATCAACATGATTAGCTGTACTAGCTGTATGCTTAGCATGTTGATGGTAACGTTAGCTTAAGCTCGAAGTGCTTCGGTGATATTTTAATTCCATTTCACACAAGGTGCATACTGCTTTTAACTTGTCAACGGAGCCGTCTGGGTGTTTCTTAAAGTAAAACACACCATTCAGGACTGTGTTCATCTTCATGGCTGCAGCAGGAGGTAGGAAGTGTCGACTACTACATAAGAGAGAAACCAAAAATATTACAACAGCATGTTAAATCAGGTTATTGGAATCATGTAAGTTCCTTAACCAAATTACCTTGGTATTCATGGTGTCTATATACATTTCAATACCATTTCATTAGCCAGTCCCCCAATTACATGTTAATTGAATTACAGCATGATTGTAATCGTAAAAACACCAAAACAGAACAACACGATTAAAAGTCACATAGTTGTGAGTCATAGTCATAGTTGTGATGTGTTTGTTCACAGCCACTTAACACTTTAGTCTTAATTTATTTATCTTTTATTTCAGAGGCCATGCATGAAATTTGACGACAGCAACATCATGTTATCCAGTCTGTGGCACTCAATTTTTGTTATGAAAAACACTTTCATCATCATGTGATTGATTTAGATGTTTGTATTCCTCTTGCGTTGACAGAGTGCAGTGCATGAATTCTAGTGAATCACATGCCTCATTAAAGCAACTTAATTATTATTAGTTTTCAAAGAGCCCAATTTTGAACAGAGCCCTAACATTTTATGAGTTGTTAGGAACCTGTGGGACGTCTTTTTATTATAGTTTTATGAGGAAAGGCATACAGTGCCTTTTTAAGCCAAGAGTAGTAACAAGATAAACATAGCTTGTTGCAGAAATGCGTAATACCTGCATTTTTAGTTTAATTATCAGATGGGTCCAAAAAGGGAATAGGCCATCCACCTTTGTACAGTCACACCAACTTCTCATTTGGTCAAATTCTCAGGTTTTCTACTTTAAAAAGCCTATTTTGTATTTATAGTCACTATGCAGCAGTGCTGGATTATCTCATTGGCTTTTCAGCAATCTCTGTTGTGTTTTGTGGTGTCCTGCCACTCAATCGTTTTTTTTTTTTTTTTCTTTCCCCTGCTCCTTTGCAGTAGACAATGGGGGGGGGGGGAAGAGCGTGTGTGTGTGTGGGGGGGGGGGGGTACAGGAGTGATACAGGGAGATTGATGAGGCAGTAAGAGCAGGAGTAATTACTCGGTGTCCATTCCCCAAGCCAGATTGGCAGACGGCTAATATCACACAGACCCCTGGCCCTGACAGACACTCCACCCCCACTCCCTCTCAACTCAAACTGGGGAGGCAGAGCACCCCAACCTTCAGCCTAATGGTGTGTGGGCCAACTGATTTACCCATGTGGTATTATTCCTATAGGAATTGGGCTTCTGTATACTGACAAGGGAAACTGCTGTTGGAGTGTGCTGTAGGATGGGAAGAGCTCAGTGCAATTGTTTACCTTTAAGACTGACTTAACATGATTTTGGCCATGATTCACCAATAGGATCAGGGTAGCTGGATATGGATGACTTGAGTATAAGTTTCTAATAGTTGACAAGCATTAACGGCATGGGTTGTGTTAATTAATTGCATTGTTATGTTTGGACAAATGCCCACTTTTGTCTGATCCAATTTGCGTAACGTGATTTACTTTGACGCCAGACCAGTAGGCTTATTGGAAGAGGAGTTAAGAACATGGGTCAACATTGATCAAGTATTTGCATGTGCTTGATTTTTGAAACTCTTAAAAAAAATTGTGTGATACAGTGAAATTAAGCAGAAAATGGAATGAAAATGTATTTACACCATATTTCACTGGAGTTACTTACTAAATTAAAATGATCAGCAAATACAACTCAACAACACTCAGGATGTGGACACACATACTGGTGGCAGACACTGCTGAAATGAAATTGGCCAGAGTGACACAATAGGCATGGCGCCATGTTTTGTACACTTACGTCTTACTTAGTGTCCACAAATTTCCTTCAATTTATGCCCAACAACAAGAAACCAGGAAATATTGAGTGACCAATCAGTACTGGTCAAGGATCACCCACAGGGCAGACTTCTACCTCTTCATCTCATCTGCCCTCCCTCTCCGCATGTCTATGACTCTCACACTGCTTTTAGGCTTTGCACTTAAAGGAAGCCGGCATGTCTTTAATTAAAGATATGTAAATGTGGTCTCAGCTGGATTGCATTAGTTTGGTGGCGGTGGGGTGGGAGAGTGTTGGAGCCTCGCTCCTAATCCTGACTAATTAAGGATTAATTACAATTGATGGGAGCCTTCCACCCCTCTGCAGTAGTGCACATTGCTGTCCCAGACTGTATGTTTGTTTGTATATTTCACACCATGTCATAAATACAGGGGAGCGGGCTGCTGGGGGTGGGGTTACTAGCCACCCCAAGATTAGCCGGATTAGGTTATTACAGATAAGCCTAGTTCCCATTACACGATTTTTAGTCCGATTTGCTGGTCGGCGAGCTCAGCGACTGTCAGGCTATGATCAGGGGTAAATCAGTGATCGATCTGCGGTCGCCAGTCGTTATGTGTGAACTACTGAACGACGCATCAAAATGGCTCCCTGACGCATCGCAGACGCCGGGCAGATATCTAGCATGCCAAATATCTGGAGAAGTTGGCTGACTCGACATCCACATGCAGCCAATGAGAGAAGGCAGCTACTTTTTAAATCCAAAACACTTTTAACTCACCTCCAGCGCTCTCTATAGCACAGACAATCCCTGCTACCTGCGTGTGCTAATCCATTCTTTCACCCATGTTCTTTGTCTTTATAATTTTTATCTTTATAATAACAGCTGTTTCATGTGTAGTGTCTCGTCATTTCACATTTCACACGTTTTCTTGCCAAAGTGGTTTGGAAACCAGCCGTCAGCTGACACAGCCGTTGCTCGTGTGGTGTGTGACCCCCTGTCACCGATCAGTCACGTAGTGTGAATGCAACAACAACTTCAAGACTCCCATCATAAGATGGCAATTGTGTAGTCTGAACAGCACGGCAATCGGCCGACGCTGAAAGTTGTGTAGTCTGCACAAGCTATTAGTGGGAAGCCCTTGCGCCTTTTTAGCGCATAGTGCTCTTCATCTGTATGGATGGTTGGATTTATGTTGTAGTACTTGTCGCTAATTCAGAATAAGTCCATTCTCTGGGAGGATGATTAGTGCTAATGAATGTGTGTACAGGTTAGCAAAGCCAGTTAAGGATACCCTCCTGTAAAACCACTGGTAGATTGTTATCCTTACTAGACAGATAAAATATTTGCACAGTGATTTTATTCCTTACTAAACTGGTACATTGGACCTGTGCAGACTAACCATGTAGCCTCAGCTCTCTCTGGCACCATCTGACTGTGTCATAATGCTTGTTCACTTGTTATAAATGGGCACTGCTCTTCTGATCTATCGCTTAATTGCCACCTAATTTGCATAACAGTGCAAATTAACGACCTCTCAAATGAGCGTTCATTTTTCACAAAGTCTTTAGGAGCTCCTTAAGAGTCTGTGCTAATGAGCACAGGAGGCAGCTGGCCTGATGAGAGTTGACTGGGGGTAGATCCTAGCAGTGCTTTAACAAGCCTCCTGCTTAGGTGCCCTTCATCATCCTCCTCTTCCTCCTGTGACATTTGAAATTCTTCCTTCTATGTCTCTCTGTCTTTCTCTGTGTGCAACAGAACTGTACTAGACTGGGGATATCATGTTAGAGATTTAGAGAACAGTGCTTTATATATCATTTCAGACACATTGGTTTTAGCACTTGTTCCATGTTGACACAAATATTTTCTTGAAAAAGATACTATATTGCTCAGTCACCTAACATAACATGTCAATGTGTGGTGCGTTACTAGTTAGGCTGGCAGTATGCTCCAAATTGAATCACATTTACTCCGATCACTCTTAGCTTTGAGGAAATACCAGTAATACTCCCCTTAACCCAAGGTCTGTTTGTTTAATGCTGTCCATGCTGTCTGGATAAGCTTGCAAGTGGTAGCAGATATACAAATTCCTCAAAAACACAAGGAAAACATGTTGTAAAGGATATACTATGTTAACTAATAACCAGGCTGATTGAAATTTTGACCACTTAAGCTGGTCAGCCTGCCCTGAAGCCAAATTTTGTGCCTGTATTTTATTTTTTGTCACAGTCTTGTCATTTTTATCCATGCGCAGGCACACAAAATATTAGTTTGAGTATATTGTCTCATTTTAGTGAAAATAAAGTTGGTTTTAATTTTTCATTTTGATATGATTAGAGTCATACGTAATTTCTATTTTGACATTTTTTGAGCTCCTTCACTGTATTTGTGAAAATATTATAGTATGACGGGGGGGAAAAAGTCTTTTTAATGGGTCATGCTATAAATAAGAAATGTTTTTTAATGTTTTAAGGAACGTAGCAGGTGCTGATCATTAATACTTTACTGTACACGTAGTCATCGCTGGATTGTCCAAGCTTCTCTTTAGTTAATTAAGGACTGATTAATGATGTGTTGGACTGAAGTGTTGTGTTTGCCCAAGGTGTGAGATCTCCAATTCACACCTTAATCAGACCACACTGTGTTTACTCTGAATCCTTACCTCTCAGTGTGTGTCAGTGTGTTTGTAAGAGTGGGGGGCTGCGTGCAGCAGGACTCTGGTGAACTACCCAAACAGATGCTGATTAGCGTGAGCTGCTTAAAGTAGGAATAGACATATGGATTAGGCTCATTAAGTTGAAATTACTTTACAAAAAAAACACCCTTTTAGAATAATGGGGAACATACCTTTTTTATGTTTAATTTTCAGTAGAAATTAACCATTTCACAGTATCAATTTTGCGGAAAGTCCATCAGGGAAATTATTCATTTTTAATGTCATATTCTACAACTCGCCCAAGGCAACATTTTATTTATCCAAGCCCTTTTTTTGAGTAATCCATATTCTACTGAAATGGCTTGGTAAATCACATTGCAATATGGAAAGATGAACCTGTTTGTGAAAGTTGATATTAATCAATTGTTACAATATATAATTTTATAAAAGGTCCATTGACAGCAAGGCTCCTCCTCAGATTGCTAAAGACCACTAGTCACAATATGAGCATGTGTGTTTTGCATTTACAGACTTAACTAATTTAACATAATGAAGGTGAAGTATTTATTTCACGGCATGGATTTAAAGGTCAAGGA